TGATTTCATGATCACTTTCACCCAAGCTGCCTTCCACTTTCAAATTCTCAACTAGCTCCTCCCTATTTGTTAGGATCAAATCTAGAACAGCTTCCCCCCCGGTAGCTTTTTCAACCTTCTGAAATAAAAAGTTGTTTCCAATGCAGTCCAAGAACTTATTGGATAGTCTGTGCCCTGCAGTGTTATTTTCCCAACATATATTTGGATAGTTGAAGTCCCCCATCACCACCAAATCTTGGGCTTTGGATGATACTGTTAGTTGTTTAAAAAAAGCCTCAACCATTTCTTCCACCTGGGTAGGTGGCCTGTAGTAGACTCCTAGCATGACATCACCCTTGTTTTTAACCCCTTTTAGCCTAACCCAGAGACTCTCAACACTTCTGTCTCCTACGTTCATCTCCACCTCACTCCAAGTGTGTTCATTTTTAAAATATAAGGCAATACCTCCTCCCTTTTTTCCCTGTCCATCCTTCCTGATATTTATTTTTGGTGATACTTAGTAAAGCGACTCCTGAATCCTTCAACAAAACGTTGACAGAAAATGCAGTTGCTGCAAAAAATGAAATTTTGAATGGGAAAATTTTGATTTTGCTAAAAAAAATTGACTTTTGTGTTAGGAAACTCTAAATGAAACATTTTGTTTCTAGAAAGTTCAGTGTTAAACTACAACTGCCTTAGGTGCTGTGGTACCTCAAAAGAGTTTTAATTTGTGTGCTTCATGGACCCATTGTCTCCTGAGCACCATGTTCATTGTCTGGACTCCATCTCCCATGATGCACCATGGTTCCCCCTCTGATTGAGCTGGCTTGGCTGTGGTGCATCTTGGGAGATGTAGTCCAAGCAAAGAACCTGATCCATCTTGAAAAGCTGCTCAAAAAGGCAGGGGACGGGGCTGGTACCTTGCAAAGCATCCACACCCACACACACATACACACACCCTGCATTTAACCCTACTGGCTGCTGCAGAGAAGAGGGAAGGCCCTTTGGCTGTGGGTGGGTTTATGCCCATCCCGCCTCTCAGATTCCAATAGGACCAGGGTAGGTGGGAAAAGGAAGAAGAGACTCCAGGGTTAAAGACAGACTCTAATCTTGGCTTCACCTCTAGCCAAAATCCAGGGGAAATAGTCGTGCCCATTCAGTTTCCTCCCACTGCCTGGTGCCCCGGCGTGGGGCGGAGAAGGGATGGACGACGGAGGGTGGGCACACAAGGTATAGCACTGGTTGCGTGCACACATGCAGTTCCTTGGCATCGGGTCTGCTTTGGGAACATGGAGTTTTTCCAGATCATTGATTCCCTTGTCCTCATTCTCTTATCACACACATAGCAACAACACCACTGTACCACATGACGTCAGCACCCACAACAACCACCAGCACTGGTGAGCCACTCTTACCACTGTCTGGGGGAGGGGCCCTACCCACTGCCACCAACTCTCCCAATTTCACTGTGCTCTTTGGTGCTTTTCTTCAAGCCCCAGCTCCAGGAGTCAGGGGACAGCATGAGGCTCGCAGCTTTTGCAGGAGGAGGGAGAAACCAAGGTTTCTAGTCCATGTGGTTTTGGATCCTTATGGGCGCAATAAACAGAAGGAAAATAAAATGTATTCCTACTTTGAATCCCATGATTTTTGACCAATTGGAGTTGGCAATATTGGACATTGAGCTGGTGTAAATCAGGGTAGCCTCTCTGAAGCCAATGCAACCATTCCACTTTCTACAAGCTGGGGACACTAGTAGTCCATGGACTTGTGCTTTCTGCCTGCCCACTGAACTCACAGTCAATGTGAATCATGCACTTCACATTTCCCTCTCACAAGCTCTTCCTACAGCACTGTTACCTGGCAATAGCAGCATAAAGGTATCTCAAACGGGGCAGAGATTGTATGTAGACTTACCTGGAGGCCAGAGGTGTGGTGGCGGGCTGGCAGGTGACTGAAACAGTGGCCCAATTTTAATTATATTTGTTGTTTGTCCCGGTGCACTACATCAGTCATTTTCCCTTCTCAGTAAAACCATGGAGTGGCCAAATGATAATAATAATCAGTAAGCTGAGCACTTGGGCAGCCAGCCAGGAAAGAATCAAATGTTGCCCAGCTGTTTAGCAGAGCACCCAGAATGGCAGCAAGTATTTCTACTGGTGATACACATCCACCTATGCCTCAGTGCACAGAACAAAATTTATTCTGCATGTGGGTGGAAAAATTTAGAAGGATCATATTACTGTAGCATCTAGGATCCCAAGTGTGCCATGCAAACACTGAACAAAAAAAGAGGCATCTGCAAATGACAGGTGGTTTATGGAAGGCTGCAGCCCGCACGGGCCTCCTGTTGTTGGGCAGAGGAACGTGCTTTGCGGTTACATCGCAGAGCCCTTTCTTCACCCTCATGGAGCCATTTATCCTCTCTTTTCAGCAAGCTCAGCACAATCCGGCGACAGCGGTCTGAGCGCTGGAGTTATCGTTTTGATAGTTGTTTGTGCTGGTGCTGCTGTGGGGGGTGTGCTGTACCAGCGGAAGAGGAGAAGAGGTGAGTTTGTTCCCTGGGCTGGACCAGCAGCTGCCATAGCGCCGGAGGCATCAGTCACAGCAGTGCGGGGGGAGGGGTCCCACGAGGTCACGCCCAGCCCCCCTGCACTCTGGCAGGCCCATGCTGCTCTGCAGGTCCCAGGAGCTGAGCCAGCGGAAAGGCTGGATTGTATCTGCGAAGCCCCAGCCCCCGACAGGCGCACACTGTGGAGGAGGCGCTTGGATCCAGGCAGATGGGTGGGGGCTGGCACCTTGCAACCCCCCTCCCCCCCTTTAACTCCACTGGCCGCTGCAGAGAAGGGTGGCGGGTCACCCCTGGCTGTGGGGAGAACAGCTCTCTGAGGGGCAGCCCGGAGGGCCCGTCGCTGGAGAGGACGGGCAGGGCTGGGCTCCGATGAGCATGGGCAGGCATCTTGATCCAGGCTGTGGGACAGTCGGACTCTCTGGTCTCCCCCTCCCCCCATTCCACGATGCCTTGTGCCTCTGCAGTGGGCCTGATTGCCAGGCCGGAGGCCAGCTGCATTTCGGCTGCTCCCCGCTCAGGGCTGTTCCTTGTTGCTCCCTATCGCCCTGAGACGCGCCCCAGCACCGCACCCGCCAGCCACCCATCTGAGCCGCGCTCTGCTGAGCCGGGCCAGGCAGATGCAGAGTCCTTCTTCCAGCACCACACTGGCCTGGGGGTTCTCGGGGCCAGTTCCACCCCCTTTCGGTGGGCCAGGATCTCCCCAAATCCTTTCCCAGACTTGGCAGTCATGGCAGGGACTCCACCCCCCAGTCTGTCTGTGTGGATTCACATTGGGTGGGGGCAGTGTTCCCGGTACACTGAGCGCTTGGGCAGCCACCCAGGTGAGAGTCAGGTGCTGCCCAGCTTATTTACAGGATGCCCACAGTGGCCTCCCACCAATCGCAGGGGTTTCCATAGGTGGTGCACATATGGACTTTCTTTGGTGCACAGAACAAAATTTATTCCACACATAGGTGGAAAAAATTAGAGAGAACACCAGTGGGAGGTCAGCAAAGAGCAGCAGGGCCCCCTCTTCCTTTCTCCCCACCCTGTCCTTCCCTTGGGGTGAAGCAGTGGGGGGCGGAGAGGTCCTGGCTGGGCCGGGAGGGCTCCGGCTGGGCAGACGGTTGCAGACCAGAGACTGCGAAGCTGTTTGGCTTTCGGTTTGATCTGTGCGTGTCTAATCTTGTCCCCGTCGTTTCCTTCCATTGCAGACAAGCAGACCCTCACTCCAGGAGCTGCTGACAGTGCAGGTGAGAGTCTCTCGCGTCCCGTTGTCCTGCCTGGCTGCATCCTCTCCTTGGTTCTCCCCCCCCCACCCATGGGCATTGGCTTTCCAGTCTGGCTTTCAGCCCCTTCCCCTTTGGTGCTGGGCACTGCACACACCCAGCCCCAGGGAAACCCCGTCCCAGTCTCAGGTTTGTGGGCTCCTGCGCCAGGCAGAATCCCCCCCGCAAAGGCTCCGGGTTCCGTGTCGCTGCCCAGCGCATCGCGGGGCTGCCTCAGCATGCAGCGGTGCCACACGGGGGCTGAATGGGGAGGGAAGGGTGAGCAGGGGTCAATGTTCTCCGTCCCCCGCCCTTTGCCATGTCAATTGTCCCATCCTCACACAAGGGGTGGGGCGTGAGTTCCATGAGACCGCACCCCCTCTGGCTGGTTCTTCATCCAATCCCATCCACACACTCAGCCGGCCCCCCCCCATGCCTCCCAGTGAGCCACTCGCTCATCCAGCTCCTGGGCAAAGTGTGAAGGGGGGGGTCCATGCTCCTGGAAGGGGCGCGGCCCACGA